TAGTGAGTCGTTGCTCCTATATTGCTGTAATGCTGCACCATCAACTTATAACTTAAATGTTAAAGCCTGCATTAGAGTAGACAAGTGTGGTTAAATATCTATAAGGAGACTATTTATTTGGCTATAACTCAGCTTTATGTGGCTTCTAAGTATAACTGCATTTTAATCATGGATGGTTAAATATCTTCCTGGAAAACTGACCTACGGAGGTCTTTCAGATATGATTCCAACTTTATATAGTATATCAAAAGATACAACATTCCTCACACCATCTGTGTCTTGGTTTTCCTTAATAAGCTTGTTTAACACTCTTACTTGACTTGATTTCCGCGCTCTAGATAGCCCAACATAAAGCTGGCCGTGTGAAAAGTAAGGATGGCGTAAATAAATCCCAACTTGATTTAGAGTTTGGCCTTGAGCTTTGTTTATGGTCATAGCAAAGCTCAGCTTAATTGGGAATTGTATCCGTTCAAACTTGAATGGAAAATGGCTGGAAGAGGAAGGTCTTAGGTTAGCACGTGGCAGAAAGACCATCTCGCCTGAATGATGGCCTGTTGTAATCATACAAAGGATAACATTTGGGTAGAAAGCTTTGCAGATTAGTCGAGTTCCATTCCATAGGCCTGAAGCTGGGGCTATGTTCCGAAGCAAAATCACAGGGCAATTCTGTTTCAGCACCAAAGAGTGTGGGCTCATTCCTCCAAGACACAAGGTATTTAAAAATCCAGTTGTGTAGATGTTGCAATTATCATCAAGTAAAGAATCAAAGCTTTTATAGACTACTGCTTCACCAGGATGATTGTCTATAAGGAGACTATTTATTTCATCGACGTCATCATTAAGAGGTGCTAATATAGCACGATCAGTGAAGATTTCTGGGCTAAAGTGACCTGCTGACAGTTTTGAAAAAACCTCTTTAATAAGCTGTGACAAGGAAACACCTTCTTCTTCAAATGGGATGAGGAGCTCATGAGGAAGTTGAATATTACCTATTTCTGTTTCTTGTAGTTGGCCATTCCCAAGAGCAAGTAAGAACTCAGAGAACAGTGGGTCTGTTCGCGCTCGCATGTTCTCATGTAGTCTAATACGTGCAAAGCTGCTCCACAGATGAGAGGAAACTAAACTTGCTGCTACGGCTTCCTTTTGAGATTTTTTAGGTACAACAGGCAAAACTTGTAGGAAATCTCCTCCAAAGACGACGACTTTACCACCAAATGGTTGGTCTTCCTCACATAGATCTCTAAGCAACAGGTCAAGGGATTCAATGTTTTCTTTCAGAGCCATTGAAGCCTCATCCCAAATGATCAGAGTGCTCGCTCTTAATAAGGTTGCAAGTCCACTTTGCTTAGAAACATTGCAAGCCATTGACACAGAGTGATCTAAAGGTAGCTTAAATTGTGAATGAGCTGTTCGACCTGTGACCATGTTTGATGCAGCTATTTCTGATGTTGCTGTAGGAAGCACAATCTTGCCCATCTGCCTAACATCGGCATAAAGAGCACAGTAAAGGTAGGTTTTACCTGTGCCCCCAGGGCCATCAATAAAAAAGACTCCTGGTTCTCCACTGTTGATCTTGCTCATAATTGCAGTGAAAGCTTCATGTTGCATGCTGTTTAATGTAGAAATTGCTTCAATATACTCACCAGGAATGGGTGCGTCTAATGCATTTGCAATATCTTTAGTTCTTGTAAGCCCTTCATCAAAAGAGACAACTAAAGACTCCAACCCAAATTCTTGTAATGTCTTTCCCATCTCTTCTAAATACCGCTCCACATCACGAATTGTTATTGCTTTCACCTTTAATTTTTCACCTTTAAATGAGTGGTTGTAGTCTTCAGAAAGAGCATCGTAATATTTATGCCACAATGCTAAAGGGTCACGCGGGTTACCAAAAATAAGTAGTGTTGCAAATAACCTTCGTAATGCCCGTGACATCTGTGCAGTAGGAGCTTCATCCATACACTTTTCCACTGCATCATCTTCACTAAGCAGACCCAACTTTACAGCCGCTTCTTGAAATGTAGCGCAGAGAACCCCATTAACAGTACGCAGGTTTCAAATGATGTAGGACCTCTTACATGTGTTAAGAGAAGACGGAGAAAATACCTCTCCCCTTCAGAAGGGGAAACAAAGGCTAATCTTCTTACGACCCCACCAAGAGAACGTTCTTTCCATGTCTTAGAAGCAGGCTGCCACACAAAATGCTCAGAAAATTCAGAATACAATAATTTTGGTTTGTTTGGAAATGCAACATTCATTTTGAAAAATTCTGTTAACGACGTTCTGGCCTTTCTACTGTCAGCAATTACATCCTCTAGCTGATTAGAAGCATTAAACCTAACGGAGTGTTGGTTTGGCAAGTGCACCTGCAGCAATAGTACAGGCGGGATCATTTCGTAAAGATCAAATGAAAAGATCCGCCAAGCAGCTTCACAAGGAGACACCCAACGGCCTGATTGAAATTGTTCAATTTCATTAACAGGTAGCCTTACACCTGTTTCTGTTATATTGAATGAACATATGTCATTCCCTTTATAGACATATTTATACAAATACTTTACAGCTTGAATTGTGGAGAAAATCTCCACATTTAGATGGCAATCAAAGAGCGATGATAAATACGGATTGTAGGGGATCACCCATTGGTTGTCCAGCATTCTTCCCCTAATCCGAATAGACTCACCCGTATTAAGCCTACGGTAAGCAGGGTAGCCACTATCATTTTTCGTGGTTGTGTCGTTAAATGCCTTTGGGTAGCCATATTTACATTTTCCTTCCCACCCCTTCTTGTTCATGCAGGAGCAGCTAGGATTGTCCTTGCCACAAGGGCCATGCATCATATGGCGAAGAACAATCTTACGCAAATAAGGGTTGTCATTGCTAGGAATTTCAGCACAAGTGAACTTGTCGTACAACACTGGTTCCTTAATTTTGTATCCTGGTTTTAGAATGATCAACATATGAACATGTGGAAGGCCTCGTTTCTGAAACTCCACAACATAAATGAAAGCTACCACTTCACCAAAGACATTATCATCCATAATTTTCTTTTTCAACGCAATAAGTTTTGCCCTGAAAACACTCGCAATTAAATCAGGACGGTCTTGAGCTTTTTCGCCAGGAGCAAGTTCTGCTTTTATTTCTGGCCAATTGGGATTGCAAGTCATAGTGACAAAGAGGTCAGGCTTGCCGAACCTTTGAACAAGAGTAATTGCATTAAGGTACCTCTTGCTCAAATCTCGAGGGCATCCAAGGAACTTGGGGGGCAATATAACTGATTGACCAACATTAGAAGCATCTGTTTCCCCAACATCAAATGTATCAACAATACCTTGATACAATTCAGCTCTTATTTTTTTTCTAGTTTTTACGAAAAAAATCCAAGCGCGTATTTTCAATCTTCACACACATATCCACAATGAACTGCAAAAACAGTCGTCCAGCTCTTAACAGATAATTGCCAATCCGTATTTGAAAACGATAAGCATAATACTCCCTAGGAGAAATAAACCTACCCCGTTTTCCATTAGCAACATCTGAGACAATAACATGCATATAAACATTAGCTATAACAACCACTCAAATTGTGTAAAGAATGTATTAGCAATGCATGTATGTTAACTATGCAATAGAGTATAATAAATCTTACATGGATCATCTTCTTGTAGTAAGGAAGCAGCCGCAACATCATCATCCCCATCTGCAGTGGCATTGACTACAAAGCTTTGATTATGAGGCTGCCCACAGGAAGACATCTTTAGAAGGCCAGGGTGCCAACCACAATCCCCATGAGGGAATAATAAAGGGTACTGCAGAGGGTCATAGCAGCCATAGTAATGCATTATACGATGTCCCTTATCAGACTTTCCATACACTGTGATATGAGGGCTATTTTGTTGATGAGATGCACTGGCATCAGTCCATATAGCAGCCACCTCATCAGACGTAGGAACGTTGTACACCCGCTGATCCAAAGTAGGGTCTTTGTTTAAAGTAATCACAGTTTCAGCTGAGACTGGAATATCTCTCAGAGATTTAAAAAATTTAGCATATGGATTATGTGACATAATTTCCATCAGAATTGCAATAACATCTGCTTGGAGCTCTGGAAACAAGTCAAGCCGATTCTTAGCCTCATGCTGAGAATCATAGATAAAGAAACTGTGGCTGGTTCCCATCAGGTAACAAGTTAGGGACAAAATGGTATAGTTGCTCATGTAATTTGAAAGCATATATGCCTTTTTTTTATTGTGATTCTAATGCACCCCCAGAGAGCTGAAAGCGAATAGGTTGTTATACAAACGTGCATATGTTTGAAAGTGTTCAGCAATATCATCTTTTGAAGTGAATAGTCTAATAATCCCAAGAGGAAGCTGACTATAAACAATTACACATTCCCCACCACTACAGAAAAATTAGGAGATTCATAAGCAAATTTTTTTGCGAAGCATTTGTCACAGAAATAAGGAGCTGCCAATTCTAAAGGAGCTGTTGGCATTTGCTGACCAACATCCCAGGCTTCTCCAACTACATATTATTAGCAAGTCTTAGTTTATAATTTGTTCAACATATATAACAAAGCAATCAAAAATATGAAACTAAGTAATATACAACCTGGACCTACAGGTTTAGGCTTCCTCGGTCTCTTTTTCTTGGGCTCCCCAGTGATTGCCCGTACGCGTTTGCTTGTTCGAGTTTTAGTATTAGAAGACGAAGGGTAATCAGGGAAGTCTATAGCATGGAAAGATAGCATATGATATATAAGGTGAAAATGCTAGCACACACAATCTACAACAGTATAATAGGTTAGAAGGATGAAAGACAATACCCATAGTTGGAGAGCACTAATAAAATTAAGGAGAAAGTTAACTCCTGCCATATGGAATCAGTAACCACATAAGCATATAATGAATTGCCAAATTCCATTGTTGATACTACAAATAATAAAGCTAACAACATATAAATGAAAGTAGCTACTATAATGATGAAATTGGATGAATAATTATAAACTAATAAATTTCATTGCTCATAAAAAGGCAACATCATAAGAAGCAGTTACATAGATAAAGCCTAAAATAAAGAAAAATACATGGCAACAGGGTTTACAATACAGCAAGCACATCATCACAAATTCTACTGAGCATTATAGCTCTTAGGTTTACAAAAGGACAGTATTAAATATGCTAGCCTTCTACACAGACTATAAAATTTAACCCCCTCCCCATGTCTATGGAATTGCCTTATAACTATGTGGCTTTGGCACGCTTAAACACAACCTCCAAATCAGATGGAACCTTAACAAAGTTAATTGCAGCTGGCTGATTAGCAACACCTGCCCTCTTGAAAGTAGGACGAGCTCTACGCTTACGAGGAGTATTAGGTGGAAGGCTTGCACTTGGGATTTTGTTACACAGGGATCTAGGTGTGCTGCAATCACGATCGTCTAAGAAAGGTGCCAAGTGAAGTGTTCCCTGCACACCAAGAACACGTTCTTGAGCAGACATGTAGCTCTCCCGTGCTAAAGAACACTTAATCCCAGCATATTTTTGTTGCCCATAGTTAAGGTAAATTATATCTAGCTTGTATTTGCACTGAAGGAAAGTCACAGCTTTCATAGCCGCATTTTGCTTAGTAGCTGCATCACCAATGCATACATCACTGATTATACATTCCATGTTAACAGTGTCTCCAGGACAATACACCGTTAGCTAGGCCACATATCCCTGCAAAGCAAGCTCAGAGGACTCAATAGTTGAGACTCGCGCACGCGTCTGTACAATTAGCACATGCAGCACATCCAAGTAGTTAATAAAGACATCCTTAGCACCTGCCTTCTCAGGGAAAGCACTAAGCCAGTTAACAGGTGGTTTATGCAGCACCCGTTATTTAGACTCCGAAGCATCATGTTTCAGCTGGAACAACAACTCACAGCGCTTATACATCCAAATCTTAGTGCTTGTCCAGTCATGAATACAAAGATCAAACTCTGCCCTCAAGTGCCGAACAGCATCCTCTGCTGCCTTTTCAGAGGAAGCCTGCAACTTCTCACCCTTACCACCATCAAAAGTATAGGTGTGTGAAAAACCAAGGTCTGTTGTTTCCACATGTAACTTCACATGATTCTTAGTAATGTCTACTAATTCATAGACAGGTGGTGGAAACTGCAGGTGATCCAAAACCTGCTTTAACAAGCTACAGTAGGAAATCGAAATTTTGCGAGGCTCTAGCTCCATGACCTGTGTGCATGGCGAAGCGATGAAACAATTAACTTCCCTCCTATCCACTAATTCTAGAAAATAACCCACCTAAATCAGAAATTCTAAAAACATTGTAAACAATTCAATCCTAAACCAACACAAGCAAAGCCCTCCCAAAATAAAGCAAATAAAATATCATACACATACACTAAAAATACAAGGACAATATTCTAGATTCATCACACACTAAAGAACCTAAACAATAAAACACACCCCCACCCTCTCCCCCAAAAAAAGTAAAAAGAACACACTTTAACAGGCATTAATTTTAAGTCAAACAAAATTTAGCATCATACATCCACATTATTGCCTTAAGCTAAACAAAACAAAATAGTAAATCCTAACATGTATCATATACTAAGAACACAAAATGATCTAAATAAAGCAACAATAAGATTATAAAGCTACATTAACAACACAATCTAAACAAATCACAATAGTAAATTCCAATAAGTGTCATATACCAAAAACATAATTAGATATATAAACAATAACAGAACAAAGCAAATACCAAAAAAAAAAAAACATAAAAACCATACCAATAATTCTGAGCAAAAGATGGCAAACAGGACCCCAACAATAGCCAGAAAATGTTAAACAAAACCTCAACACCAGCATGCACAAATAATAACATTGCAATCAGTATTCTAACCAATGGTAAAAAATAATTATTCATCAGCCAAAGTTATCTATACAGAAATCTGTAAGCTCTACAGCAGCCTCATCAAAACATATATAAAATGGAAAAAATGCTAACAAAAATCAGTGTGCAAATCCAAAGATCATTAAAACCACAAAGTCAAGATGTATTTTGTTTAATTAGAAATCCAAGTAAATCCAACAAAGGGTCAATTAGTGCAAATGTAACAAGGAAAAATAAAGTAATCATATAAGAACATGAAATTACCACCAAGATTTCTTAGTTCGAAAACAAATATAAAATGGAAAAAATGCTAACAAATTCAGTGTGCAAGTGTAAGATCATTAAAGTAACTATAGCATTATTGTCAATGGCAAGCAAGTCAAGATGTATTTTGTTTAATTAGCAATCCAAGTAAGTCCAACAAAAGTCAATTAGCACAAATGTAAAGTTCCAATTGATCAACAATTGCATTAAGCTAGAACAAGGAAAATTAAAGTAACTATATAAGAGCATGAAATCCTCACCAAAAGTTCTTAGTTCTACCCTTTTTCCCCCCTCACTTGATCAAAAGGAATAGAGTGAATGATTTCAATTTAAGAAGAATATATAACTAGAAGGCAATGTCTGTTTCAAAGATTTCTAAATAGGTAATATCACACTGCCTGAAAACATGATAGGACCATCAATATGATAACATAACACTAATAAAGCAATAGTCAAAACAAGCCTCGAGAACACCACTTTATTTGTTAGCATTTTAAACACCTCCCTATAATAATCAGATAATTTTATTTGTTAGCTTAGAAAATATGTATTATGATGAGATAAATTATAATTTAAATCCCCAATATAAAGAATAAGTTACATAATGAGAATATAAAAATCTTTAAAATTAATTATTGTTGGCTTCTTATTGTTTATATTATAATTTAAACCCCAAATTAAGATATATTTTAATGTAAATTCCCAATTAACAGTAAATTATAATGTATCGTAATTTAAATCCCCAATCTACCAGTAAAAAAGTAGCAATTTCATTCACCTCCATTATTTTTTGATTTCAATCTAGACTTAAGTGATCGATTATATAATGTAACTTATCCTTCATTTATAGAATTGGGGATTTAATTATAATGTATCCCATTGTAAAACATTTTTTCTAAGCTAATTTTTCTTACTGTTAATTGAAATAATTGATAATAGTTGATGATTGATAGGTTCGATTAACTGAGCTTACAATGTCAATCTTGCCAATATGAGCTAAATTGCTAATTTTTTCTAATAGCATTAATCTATTAAATTAATTGTTTATTTACAATGGGAAGATCTAGCTTACTATATTAGTGTATAAAATGAAAACATACAGTAGCATATCCATGCCCCTTAAGACATACCTTTTCATGATAATCTGGAAGGTGTTTTGACATTTTGTAGCCATTGATGATATGTTGTGGTGTTGCTTTTTCAAAAGCAGGACATCAAGAAGCAATTCTTGGCAACGCATCGAATTAGCTGCCGGCAAAACAAAACGAAAGATTATATACAATGATATGTCAGCATCAGCATACAAAGAGAAGGAAAAGATGGAAAGGAAAAAAAATTGGCGATTAATCCAAAGATGAAAGTGTAGCCTCCATAAACACGAAAGAAGAAATGATGAAGCAGGCAGCTGATGAAGCAGACAGGAGCAATTTCGTCAAAAAAAAAAGAAAAAAAAAAAGGAAGAAAGAAGCACACATGGCCTTCACAACGCTCGCCACCTCATCATAGTAGTTAGAGTTGCCACCTCATAATAGCAGAAACAGGATAAGAAAAAAAATTACACTTGCCACCTCATAATAGCAGCAACAGAAAAAGGAAAAGAAAAAAAAAGGAAAAAAGTCCATGCATATGAATTTCACATGGTCTCACACATGTGATTCACATGCACGAACACTGTTCATAAGGTGCATGAGTGAAACTTTTTAAGGGGTGAGGATAAAAACTTTCCTATTTTTTTAATCCAATTTCTATTCGAATTTAAAGATGTTCAAAGACAGTCAATTATAATTTTCGAACCCCATAATATTTATCCAAATTTTATATGGTTGGATAGATCTTGAAATTATCTTTCCAATGATATATTATAATATTAAATCTGAGCTATAACGAAAAAGATATGAATGAGATATGAAACTCTATCCAAAACTAACATCCTTCCACTATTTCGGCCATATATTTTTATCTACAAAAGATTTTAATCTTATTCTAATTGGGTTGGAAAGTAGACTTAAAGAGGTTTTCAACGACATATTATATGCCTTATTTGGATTTCTGGATCAAAAGATACGATAAAAACAAAATACGTAAAATCTATCTTGCAGCGCCGGAGAACAGGCCTGTCGCGCGGCGGCAGGGGCAGTTGCGGCGAAAACATCGATTTTTATTTCTCTTTGAACTCCAATTCTTTTTTCATCATATTCCGGACGATTTTCGTTATAAATAGCTTCCTTGAACCTCCGTTTTTAATCATCAACTCCCATCAAGAATTTCTTGATTCTATCTCTCTTTCTAAACTAGGCTTTTACAAACAAAATTCCTCATACATTAGCACTAGACACACCTAGCCAAGTTCGAAGTTGCCTTCGCCCTAGACATGAAAGGTTTGATTTATGAGGGTTTGGTCCCAAATCTAGTTTAAACTTTCTTAATTCTTTCTTTCAATTATTTAAGTTAATTATTTGGTTTTATATTTTCCTTGAAGTTACTTACGTGTTTATTTTGTTATTAGAAAGAGATACGAGGCACCCAAGTAAGTGCTTTAATTTTCTAATTGATATTATGATATAGTATCATGTTTAGGTTATTATTTTGATTCCTAGTATCATGTTATTAGAAAGAGATACTAGTTCTAGCATTGTTGGCTCGATTCTACTTCCTGATTGAGTTTTTTTCTCTTTTCTGAAACCCATATGTGTTTTACATATGGAAATAACCCTCTGGGAATTCATGCTCCATCTACCCAATTAAACGCTCTGAGAACCAAAGGGTACATCCGAGAATGTTGAGTTCACCAAACCATGGAAGCGAGTGTAACTCGCGGGGTCCCATCCAGATGTGCCAACCCTTCCAAAGGTAAGGCTTCCGCGCGGTGCATCCGGACTCATAACCATAGACCCTCTTTGAATAATCCATATCCTAAACTTTAGAGAACTAGAGCCATGGTTAGGTTGCAAACTCATTGCATCATTTTGTGACTACTTGACTACTTGTGCATTATTTTCTTGTGCATACTTACATGTGATTAAACTAACCGTTTGGTTTGACTTGTAATTATGAATATGTTTAAATAAACTAACCAAGGACTAAAGGACTTTGCTTAATTAATTGATTAATTAATTTGAACTAATGAATAAACCTAAAATTGAGTCATAGTTCCTTTAAGTCAACCCAGTTTTTTATTCCTGTATACTGCACAAGCGTCAACTTGTTTCGGTCATAACTGGAGTTCTAGGAAGAGTTACGAGTCTTAAAACCTGTGGATTTGTAGTCCCGAGTTTTATATTTAATTTGGTGTTGGTTTCGTCCCAATCAGAGTCACAAATAAAAAGTTATGACTAATACTACAACCTGTCCAGTTTAGTGCACATACATGAGGTCTTAATTTAGTTTTGTTTGAGTCTAGTCACATAGTCTAGCCACATGGTCATGACACGAGTCTTAACATGTCACCTAAACTTCTTAGCACACACTTTGTACATACTCTTTTCACACCATGACCATGTCTTAGGCTCATGCATGAGTCGGTTTTTTCCGTCATTTGAATTGGGGGTACATTCTATTCCTAATTTTTTCATATCTCTCCATCTACATCATCTTTCCATTCTCTACATGCTTTCTCCATATCAAAACCTTCAATTTTCCTACTTTCTTCCATCTATTCATGTTGAATCGATTTTGAGTCATGTGATTGACAAAAAAAAAAAAAAAAAAAAAAATTAAGTAATGATGAAACAAATGCACAAGGAAAGCTTCTCACCAAGATTTCATGCTTTCTTCTTCTTTTTTTTCAAACCCTTCCCCAAAAAGTCTAGCATAGGCACCCTTCATCCTCCTTTAATTTATTTCTTAGAGTTTGATTTTTACCCTTCACTTTTTAAATAAAATGAGTATTTATTTCCTTGACTATGATCAGTGCATTTCCAAAAAAAAAAAAAAAAAAAAAACGCCGAGCTAAGCACAAGGTATACCAATGATTTGAGGCACCCCTTGTAGCCACATCATATAACCTTTCACCCTTCAAATATACAATCTTTTCTTGATAAAACACTTTGAGCCTCGTCTAACGATAGACCTTTTTTTTCAACCCACATCCACCTAACCTAGGGATGGGACAGTGTGCAATTTATGCAATTTGAAAAATCTTGAGTGATTTCAAAAGATTAAAATAACAAAAAATAAAAAATAAATAAATAAAAGTGTACAAAAGGGCAAGTGTTCCAATGTATTTGACGCAAACATGTTTTTGATATGAACACGTCTCAGATTGCGTCTCTTATCGAGTGCTCAGTACCGTGCCTGAGAAACATGAATGCCAAGTGAGTGATAGACCGGATGATTGGGATTGCCCACACTTATAAAAATAAAATAAATGCAAAACCAAAAAAAGAGAGCTAAAAAAAAGAGTTAAAAGCCTCAAGCATAAAAATATAGAGATTCAAATGTAAGGTTGCACACCTTGGGGGCTTATCGAGGGTCTTGAGCCTTTATCCCCTTTTTCTTCAAACCTTTATCCTAACCACGTTACTACCCTTCAAAAGACTTTTTTAAGATATACACACTTGTGCGAGGTTCAACTAGAGCTACGTTCGGCCTGATTCCTAACGGATATGTAGGCAACCTCACATCGAGGTGCGGCTGTAATAAAAATGCATTCACATTCACCTTCACACGTCATGATCATATCAAGGGATCTCTTATGCTCATCCCTATCTACTTAGAGCTAGACTTGGGGGCTTGATCCTTACATCATTAGCTTACCTAGCCTAAGAATCACCATTATTTGACTCTTCTAAAAATAATACCTTTCCACACACTTAGCTCTTGCGGCCTAACCTTAGTGTTACTTTCACACACTACACAAATACATGACCAAATAGTCCTTCCCTTAGGAATCCTTTGTCATGAAATCTTAACACAACATTGAAGCATAATTCGTCATAACAAAATCATTCATCACTCATCATGCATCACAAAGTACGAAGTGCTTAGCCTCCGTGCCTAAGTTACCCACATACTTTCATTATTGAGTCAGCTAGGATAGCCTAGGATGAATTAACCTTTGCAACTTGAGAGACAACATCAAACGCATATACTTGGCTAAGCTCATTCAACATGCACCTCTAAACACTTCGATTCTTTTTTGCGTCTTTCTTTTTCCGGAGAAAGTCGGTACCTTCCACAAAAATGACGGAAATTTTTTGCTTTTTCGCATTTTGAGTCAAGCACATCATAATACAATGCACACACGGGTCACGAGTCACACGTGTCAATTCACCTTGGGTCAATCTCAAGTCAGTCAGTCACGTTGAGTCAAACTCAAGTCAGTCAGTCACGTTGAGTCAACCTCAAGTCAGTCAATCACCTTAGGTTAATCCTAAGAAAAAAAATCAAGCCTTAGGTCAACCCTAAAAAAAGTACTAGCAAAGTCTTTTGGCAATCTTTTGATTTTTACATGATACAACTATTCAGCAAAGCTCCTATTCGCAGCCAATCGAACGAACGCAACAAACATTCAAGTAAAAAAAAACTCTTTTGCTTAGAGACGCATGGGCACATTATTCAAAGCTCTTTGTTCAGAGACGCGTGGACATATCATCAAAGCTCTTTTGTTCAGTGACGCGTGGACATATCAAAGCTCTTTGTTAAGAGACGCGTGGACAATCCTTTCAAGCTCCTTTATTCAGAGACGTGTGGACATATAAAAAAATCTCTTTTGCTCAGAGACGCGTGGGCATATCATTCAGAAGCTCTATTGTTCAGAGACGTGTGGAAAATCCTTTCAAGCTCCTTTGTTCAAAGACGCGTGGACATATAAAAAGCTCTTTTTCTCAGAGACGCGTGGGCATATCATTCAGAAGCTCTTTGTTCAAAGACGCGTGGACATATTAAAAAGAAGCTCTTTGTTCAGAGACGAGTGAACATCAAAACAACAAGATGGCGTTCCCTAGATTTTGGAAGGTTATCACAACAACAAATGCAACAAATCGGTTGCCTACAGAGACTGTGCTCGACGGTGCAAGATACGCGTTTCTTAACTCTCTTATTTGTCTTAACTAACGCTAGTTTGCAGGTATTGGCGTTACAAGGATGATTTAGGATTGTAGAACGTTCTGAATCATTCTCCGTCCCCGTCGCTACTTTGACTTTTGTTTTCGAAACTTGCGTTTCTCCAAACTAAGTCAAAGTAGGGGCTTCTGTAGACACCCAAATGTGTCTCCCCAAAACCAAACCCAGTGATGAATACATTTCATGTCATTTGATTATCGAACAAAGCGAAAGTGTGAAAAGTCTAGTGATGAGGATGTTTTTATTAAAATATCTCTTCTTTCTGTTTTTGAAAATATTTTTTTTCTTACCCTATTTATGAAAAACGTGCCTTCCAATTTAGTTAGGTCCATGATATGGGTTCGATAATGGTGTACGTGGATGGGGCTTGAAAAGACCTTTCCAACGATATATTATAAGCCCAATTCCGATGAATAATGAGGAAGTTATGGCCAAAATTCTAAACTGGGCCCAAATCAGATTTTACCTACGACCCAATGATCATGTGGAGGGTTCAAAGGTTTAATCCTATTCCTAAACAAATTAGGATTTATTATAAGCTTCTATAA